TTTGGAAGAAGTCCTTCGAAATCGGTCCTCTTTCCGCGGCTCGACAGAAATAAGTATAACAAATATATACTTTATTTAGAAATCCTAAAATTATAAAATAAAAAAATTTAACTTTAACTTTTTAATTACTTTTTTTATTAACTTAACTTTTAATTTAATTAATTTTATTATGGACTAACTTGTATCTTAACTAAATTAGATTTTTAGTTAGACTGTTAACTTTAATTTAACTTAGTTAAACAAAAATATTAACTTATCCAATCCTGCTATATATACATGGTACACTGGTGAAGTAGTATGGCGACTCTGTTGTTTAACTATGCATATTATATATCGTTGGAAAGATAACAGTCATAGGTGTCATTTGAGAATCAAAAGTGTTTGGTTTGGTTGAATTTAAGTCGTGAAAAAAATCATTGAAGATGGACAAGAAGAAGTTGCATTTTCTATATGTGATGCTTTACGAGTTTCGGAAAGGAATAACCGTTGGCGCTGCGATAAAAAACATTCAGTAGGTTTATTTGGACCGTGCACCAGCCTTTCGAACGGTAAAGAAGTGATTTGCTAAATTTCATCGTGGTAATTTTAATCTCGAAGACGAACCGTTCTGGGCGTCCTTCCCATATCGACGACGACATTCTGCGCGTATTAATAGTAAACAATGCACGCATTTCGACGAAAGAGATTGCTGAGATCCTGAACATTGATCAACTGCGTTTCGGCGTTTAAAGAAGATGGGACGTACTTTATAAATCGGGCACGAACTTTTGCACTGACCTAATACAATGATATAATGATAAAATATAATAAAATGTAAAAAAATTATTAGACAGGGAGGTATAGAGAGAGAGAGAGAGAGAGAGAGAGAAAGAGAGAGAGAGAGAGAGAGAGAGAGAGGAGAGAGAGAGAATATTTATTGTAATAGATAAGAAATAATTCCATCTATAAAACTCGCTTTATCAACTTTAACAAAACTCTGAGATAGAACTTTGCAAAAAGTGTAAATTCTAGCTATTACCAATATTAATTATTTCACGTAAATAGAGTTATAATTAGCTTTAGTATCTTAGTTATAAAAGAGCTTAAGTGGGTAGCTCTTTCTAAATTACCGTCAACCGATTTCCACTTCTATCCAAGGGTAAGACAATTGCTGAAACGTCGTCCTTTCAGAAATGCTGACGCGGTGCGCACTGCTGCGAAAACAGTACTGAAAGCGCTAAAAGAAACTCGCTTACGCCGCCATTCTTCAGAACTTTACAATCGCCGGGTGCAGAGTGCATTGCCGTACGAGATTATTATGACGAGAGAAATATATCCAAAGGCGCGAACGTCCGCGTCAGTCCTCTCTCGTGATAAACGAAGCGCGAATTATGTTTCGTCTGAATGTATTATTAACATAGGCATATCTAAGGGGTGGGAGGGGTTTGAGAAGTTCATCCTCCCTCCCACCGAAATTTTTACTTCAGTTTTTAGTTTTACAAAACCAAACATTTTTTAATAAAATTTATAGTATAATATTTGATGATGTTTGATAATATTTATGTAAAATATCGAATAAAGCAATTCATTAATGCAAAAAATTGCTATTTATGCATTAAGTTAACAGAATTGATAAACATCTCCCCCGAAAAAAAAAATCCTGGATATGATTAGTAGCAAAACACAGGACTCTACATTTCTATACATGTACATATAAACGATGAAACTTAGAGCCGCGAATTGATAAAATTGGCTTCACCGTTTAAACGTGTTGAGTACTTGAAAATCTAAACGGAACAGCTTTTGATCGACGAAAGAATAAGAACGGCAAGAAAACGTGTTAACTTGTTAAAGTGAATTTAATATTTTTCACTGTCATGCAAAATGGAATATTCATGTAAGAAATATTCGCCTTCTCGTGAGGAACAATATGCGTGTATATTCTGTTGTAGAAATTGTGTCGAAAAAGACAGGAAACAAATTTTATTTATGCTCACGTGAAGGAGATAAGTCACCTAGGCGAATCTCGGAGTATATTGCGGTCCAGGGTTTCTCTCTCTTCTCTCACGCGGAGGTTGACTTGCACGTCGCCGACCGAGACCGATATAGTTCGAGGTGATGGCATAGAAATATACGATCCCAATGGAAGAGGTTTTAAAGGGATTTAATCTTCTTACATAAAATAGTGGTAAGACTACTTTATGCAGAATTACATAATATAAAGATTGTCTAATGGCTTATATATTCTGGTACTCTGAAATCTTGCGGCGGAAATTATCCAAAAATATTAGTTATATATTTAAATATGTATTTAACGTGGAGATAAAATAAAGCTGAAAAAGAGAAAAAAAAATTAAAACCGATTAGCTTTGCGAAAAAGTACTTCATCTGCATAAAAACACATTTATTGCTTTCAAAGTTATATTTTATATAATAAATTCTACTTTATAATATATCTCAGTATTAAATACTATCTCGCATGTAGATCGCATTCACACCTCTTTGCATTCATCTTTCAACGATTTTTAGTTTTTAAATGAAGACGCTGATCCCAGCAAAACTCCTTAAAATAATCTCTCTCTCTCCTGAAATTAATCTCCCGTCAGTAAGAATATTTCCTGACACTTTTTCAACGGTATAACGGACAGCTTAGATTGCCGATAATAAAGATATAATTGACTGCTGACTATGCGTCAATAAGTAAAAAATTTCCAGCAAATCCGCCCGATTCTCAGGTACGCGGCCGCGTCTCACTTGGGAAAACGAACTCTTACGCCGACGTCAAGATTTATTATTTGATTCGCCGGAAGAAGAAGACGACGCGGAACGACGCGGAGACGGATTTTACTTGTGTCCACCCGATGAGATCATATTTTATAAAGGGTACGCATAAGATACAACGTATCCGCTTTCCCGGCCATTACCGGACGTCGAGTAAAAAAAAAAAATGAGAAACTCTACATTGCAGCTATCGTTTTCTACAACGCGGCGTTCGCGAAGTGTGCGTCAATTATAATTATTCTAAGCGTGTCACACACATACACACACACACACAAAATCATGTATTTATATAAGATATATATATATATATATATATATATATAATCATATATTAGCCCCTAAACTGTAGTGCACCTTTGATAAACGGTGCATAAGGGAAGGCAACTACCGCGTGCTCTCACGTCGCGGTGGAAATTTATTTCTGCGCACACGTCTAAGAATTAATAGTTGCGCAACTAATGTGATTTTATTGAGAATTTATATTTCAAGTACCATAATACGTTATTAAGCAGTATCTAATGGTGCACTTGATTATGGCGCTTAATGAATAATCCTGTATGTACGTTGGCCATCTAATACTATCGTAATAATACCCGCCTATCGTAATAATATACGCCTTGCATAAATGTTCGCTAATTTATTGGAGTTATTACATACGTATAGCTGACTATGATGTAAAAGCTTTGTTATTGTGCTGTATATGGATACAAAGTGAATATACAAACTTCGCAATACGGTAAAATACATATATTGAATTATCACATGCCAGAGATATCAATGTTAAGAGTACGAGCGCAAATTCGTTTATATAATTTAGTAATTGTTACAATTGTGTATGTATAAAGCGATTCTTTGTATACAATTGTAACAATTATCTAACGTACGCTGTTATAGCCAATTTATATGTTTGTACCCATAAAATTATGCAATTTACATAACAATAATGTAAGCTGCACTGTTAGTTGTTTGCCAACAGACCCAAAAAAAAAATACAGTGAGAAATAGAGTGTTATGATATAATGTTATGAGGGAAATTCTATACGAGGTTTATTAAACCATTTTAATAAATGAAGTTGTTCCCCGCACCATCGAAACGAACGTGTCCGACATCACTTGCAATTCAGTCTAACCGAGGCAAGCATTGACGTTTGTTGCGCGAGAGGCTGCGCTCGCGCAGGCGAATGCGGCTTCCTGTCCCCCTTCTTTTTTTTTCTTATTTATTACGCGGCACGAGCATTCGCTCTATTACCCCAGACCGACGGAAGAAGCTCGCCGTACCACTCTATCTTGCGGCCTTTCGCGAAGAGAACGGCAGGAAAATGCGTTATCGCGTCATCGTAAAAAGACATGTCGCACGGTTCGGTGCCGCGCTGGCTCTCCGATGTTGATAAAGTCTCTCTCTCTCTCTCTCTCTCTCTCTCTCTCTCTCTCTCGCGACACGACATCAAGCAATTTTCTGAAAAGAGTGAAGGACGGATATTTTAAAATTTCGCCTGGAAACACCGCGAATCGATAACTTAAGAAAAGCACTCAGACGCTGGCTGTTTCGAAATTGTCCGACAATGAATGTTTTCGAAAACATTCCGAAGTGACAAACAGATAGATATCTAGGAAGAAACGTACTTTGCGAGCTAAATTCGAAGAACGTGCGTTCATAGATATAGGTATTCACAAACACGTGACGTTAAACGTTCCCGTATAAAAGTTGTGCAATTCGCTCGAAACGCGATATAGAAGGGTGGGAGGAGGAAGAGGAGGAAAGATGTTCGTGAGAACATTCGACCGCGTATGACTGAATCACGGCGGGATATTGGCGCGTGCTCATCGATCTCTGCGGAATCCCGAGCGTTCCGTGTAAACTGTCGCGTAAAAATGTCGTCGGGTTCTTTCCGCGCGTGTTAACGGTGTCCGGGATGCATTTCGCGGAACGGCAAAAGACAAAGTAATTCCATTTAGCAGGCTCGCTCGTGATTAAAAATAGCGTCGCGGTGTCTTCGTGTGCACGCGGCTCCGACTCTCTTTCTCCCCCTCGGGCGAACCGGCGCACCCATTTGTGCGCCATTTGTACACAGGGTGCCCCAGAAATCCCGTTCTTAATTTTAATGGTGCGATCCGTACGCGCAAAGGAGCAACATTCGCCGTCGCGTGTTCGGTGCCTTGTAAATCGTCGAC